TCATGCAACGTGATTAAGTAGAAATATTTTTTTTGATCAATAAAGTATTCTGTCATAAAATACACTGAAGGGTTTAGTCGAGACTCGTTTTTAGGCAGACCAATGTATTGAATGTTTGTCCAAATATGCATAGCAGTAAATGCACCTGTGCCATATGTACCAAGCACTGAGAGAAATTTTGTAAAATTAAACACATACACACACACACACACACACACATATATGTATCAAACATTCAGTCGCCTTTTAATTTTTTATATTGTGGATATTTTTAAACATACAGAAGACTCGACTATTATGTCTTACGTATAATTGCAGTTGTGTAACGTTTCGCCTTGTTTCCGTATTTTTTTAGAATAGCGATTTCTTTCTCATCTCTTAGCTCGTTACATACACCTTGAAGCCGATCCAGCGAACTCTTTATCTGTCAATAATATTATGTTTTTTTTTTTTTTTTTTTTTTTTTAAGGAGGGTGACTATTCTGGGCCCTTTTTTAGACAAATAAAATAAGGTTTATTTAAATGCTTATGTTAGAAGATTAACGTAACCAGTAGTTTAAGTTTGCAGCTAATGCAGGAGAGGAACATTAGAATATAGCTTGAGTATAGGACACTATTTTGCGTACCCATCACTCAAATCACCACTTTTTACGTTTGCAGTCATGTCATCCAAGAAGCTTGCTAGCAGCGAAATAAGCAAGGAATGTCTACCATATTCCGAACACCATGATATTGTTATAACGTGGACGCAATAATCCACTGTGCGAAGACTATTCTTACAATGACAGTAGTATCCTTTAATGGCATCTGCGGCTTTATTCGGTTCTTATATCCGATTAAGATATAAACCAAGTACTTTGTACTTCCATAATAACGTGTCGAATTTGAACGGGATCATTATCTCCTGTCAGTAGGTTATATTTTTAAATGCGCGTGCGCGTTCAACATAAATACACACTAATAGAGTTTTTTATTGAGAAAACTAGTGCAACACTGGTGCACACTGAGTGTAATTTTATTATTCTAATGTAAAAATTAGTTTACATATTTTCAGTGTTTAATGTTTTATTGACAGAAATTTGTCAAGTTAAACACATCAGTAGCACTAAACACATTAAACACTAAAAATATGTGTGCATCAGCGTGCACCAGTGTGCACGAGCAGTGTAGCACTAGTTTTTCCAGTAGAAAACGCTATTAGAGTTTGTACATGCCGTTTGCTCGTACGTGTTTATCACAATACATTGTTTTGAGTGAACCTGCACGGACAGCTAAGTACATGTATCACACGCTCGTTTTATTTCGCCTCCACGTATGGCCCCAGAGGAGGACATCACTACAGGGAATTTGTCACAAAAATCCGAAATATCTCTGTCTTTCTTTGACATGACGGCGAAATAACATAAAGCATCCAAGAACTTATCCGAATCAAGACAAGCATGCAACAAACATGCACCATTATGCAGTTGATAGAACCCAATGGAATCTAAATCTATAGGATAATATAAAAAATATATCGTAAATCAAATTAAAAAAAGGCAAAGATCATGTTTCCTAACAAATCTAATAAATCCTCTCTTGCACATTTTGCAGAAAAACTCGTATATAGCATTGGATCAGGACTTAATGACAAATAATATTTAAACCCTATAGAAAAGGGCTCAGAAATTACCAAAAATAGTCATGCTTCTTTCAAAATGCTTATAGTCAAACTTCTGCATTCTTGATTAGAACGGAATTATTTATGTTATTTTTTTAAATACTCTTTACATTATAATTATAATAGAAGTAGAGTCCTTCAAATCATGAAGAACTGAAAGGAAATTAAGAATAACTGGATAAATTTAATCCTAATAGGTAAGGAATATAAAAATCCGACAGTTTTACATTCGATAATTCTGTTTATCACTAATGCATATATGATTGATAACACTCTTACAGTATCGACATTAATCCAAAACGAATTGTATTTGATCACAAAGCATATAAAGTAGAACGTAGTAGAAATAATCTCGAGAATATGTTTTGGAGTACATTTTGACGTCAAGACTGTGGTAAACTGCAAGAAATAATTTTCAATAAATAAATTAGCCACGTCAAGAAAGCAACAGTAGATTGTCTGATTAGCAAACTGTAATTTCTTTATTCTCCGTTACTTTATATACTATGTACAATAAATTAGTAAAAAGAGCAGGTAATTAATTTTCGGATATAATTGTATCACAATAATATTATTTTAATAAGATAAAATATTATCCAATATAGTTTGAAATTTGATATATGTAATTAAAATAACGCTTATACAATATTTGCTTATTTCATAATAATAATATTAAAATCATAACATACTTGGAACATAATGAAAGTTATCAGAATTCCAAGGAATAAAATTGACTGAAGTTCAACGACTCGCGATCGTTGGTAAGGCCACAAACCAACGGCAAGCAGCAGGATTCGATTGACGTTAAAATGTCGAGTTTCGAGACAAATCATCTCTTCGTGAGCACAGAGATGTATGTATTTGACAGAAAAGCAGTGGACGGATATCTCCTCCCTCTCTTTTCTCTTGATTGATGGTAGATTTGCCTAAGCAATGCTAAGTATTAGTATATCAGCTTCAAATTAGTAAATTATGTTAATGTTAGTATACTTAGTAAAATAGATAATGTCATCAAAAATAATTTTTTCTCCAGCGAGAATAATTTTACTCATATACACTCACCCGCAAAAAATTCTGGCTACTTCAAATCAACGTTAAAAAACACCTAATTCAAAGTTACATATCTTGTGAGAAATAATCGCAGAATGATGGTTTAAAACTTTTTAAAGCGTTTTAAAGCTTGAGTGCTTTCAAATGCTTCGAGACTTGTTTCTCTGCGAAGATTTTACTACAAACGACGCTAATTTAAAATTTAAAACATTGCAAAATTGAAGAATAAACTTCAACTTTTATAGCGTGCACGTGGAGAACGAAATTTACTCTCCAAATTTTATTGATTATATCGTAAAATTTAACATCTTTTCTTTAAAAATTTTTTTAAACATTACGCTATAATTTTTTCACTGAATTATAACAATCTGAAGTGAATAGTGCATTTTCTAGTCCTTTCTCTGAAAATTTGTATTCTATCGCCGATATTCGTATCTTTTGATTTTTTATTAAAACTGCTCCGTTGGCAAAATGGTGCAAATGACAAACTGCAATGTTCATACAAGAATGGCAAACAGCGAGGTACTTACCTCCGCTGTGACACACACACGCACAAACATTGAAGCACGCGCCCGTTATCTCACTATAGTAGGAAAATCATTTATACGTTCCACTACCAGAAAACGTTCCTGGACGTGAAATGCGGTACATTTCATAGCATATGCAAGTTCTTCTACTGCCCAACGACGTGACTCAACTACGGTTTGATTTTGTAACTCTTAACGACAGTTTTGTTACCGTTATATTGTTTTTGCGCTGCTTTTTTACCATGTATAATATTTGCGCAACAACGATATAACGATAACGAAACTGTCGTTAAGAGTTACAGAATCAGCTTGCTAGACATGTAGTTGTCGACAGCTATTATGTTTGCTGCGATTTAAATAGAAAGCAAAGGAAAACAAGGAAGCATTGCACTTGCAACAATAAGGGAGTGTGTGATAAGCATTCCATATGCAAGTTAACGTGCTATTACTCTATCCAAGTTTTCTTATAATTATCCTAAACTTTGTACTATATTTTTACATTTTGCAATAGAATAGAAATAAAATATGAACAAAAATAAACACAAATAAAATTTATTTAGAAAAAATAAATGTATAAA